GAACAGGATTGGGGCCAGCCACTCTGGCATGTCTGGGTAAAGTGTACATGTAGTTAGATATTGAAGACTGCATCTCTGAAGACTTACCATACCTGTACATGTAGCTTTGGCTTTCAAACAAAGTTTCAGTGTTTTGCTGATTATATAAAACCACATTAAAACCATACATTTCCAATCCCATTCTCAGCGATGGAACTGCCAGCTGAATTATGCCTAAATACTGTGCATGACATATACATGTACAGCCTGTTACATGTACGTGTCACGTCTTGAGGTTGCAGCTGATCTTATTGATTAAAGTTTCAATCAACATGCAGGCTTCTCTTTCTGTCGTCTGTCCGCCCTTTGGTTTTTTTAGAATGACAGAAATGCAAAACATTTTTGGCCTCATCCCAAAGTTGTGTGAATATTGAGGGTTATCCTCCAGATAAATTGTTTTGAAAGGCATTCTGTCTAAAGACTTTTTGTCCCCAAAAAGAGTTTACATGTTTGCCATGTTTTGAACTTACCGGTACCTCGTGTAGTTTACATGCATGTTAATGGTGCATGGAAATGCAATGTGGAGTCCCTACTATAACAGCACACTTTGACTGTTTTCTTTACTCCAGTGCTGCCAGACTTCTTTTGGTCTGTAAACTCGAAACATTTTGAGAAATATTTTGACTTTACCAGACTTGCACTGTCCTTAGGATTTTGGTGATAAAACTTCCACAGCATTCACATTGTAAAAGAAAAAATCAGTGTTAACATGGTAAATAAATTAACTAAATTTACTGTCATGCATGTTGGTCATACCTGTGCTATCATCAAGTACAAATAGATACGACTGTAAAAAACAGAGCAAACAAAAAACACTCATATACGCTTTGCTGTACAATACCGTATTTCAGGGCTTTGTTTCACTATCTTGATATACATGTACATACGTACATGTATTCTTGCTTTCATGGCTAGTCTAAGTACGCATATTGACATGTTCATTACTTGCAGATGCTGCGATTTTGTGGGCTTGAAATTAAATGTTCACAATACACAAACTGCATGTACATGTATGTCATACTGATATGTTCATTTACATCTTCATGATAAAGATATGTGAAATTCATCAATGGTACATGTACTTTCTCCTGGGATGATTCCTGCTGGAGTATGCACCCACACAGCTCCTTTTAATACACATGTACCCGGACAGGTACATGTACAGTAATTGCCCGAGGGAAAAGCTGTACACATTAGTTTTGCCATATCCACCTTATAATCCTCTCCCACACAGCCAGTATATCACTACAATCCATCTGTCATTGTGTTTGGAATATGAAATGAGACTTGTCCTGGTGCAAATAGCTATGGAGAGGGAAGCCGGCAATTTATTGATTTCAGATGCTGTTGGCAGAAAGGATGATGCACCGTACAGGGTCAATATGAGAATGAAGCTAGGCTATAGGCATGATTGAATGTGATTCAAGGGGATGTTGGAGCTTTAAAGATACTGTACATGTACATGTAGTTAGTATACTGCATGGAAAAATTTTCACACATGGTTAATTTACTCACATGGATGTTAAACCTCGGCGAGAAAAAAAATAATTTTACCCACATTATAAACACTCTTTCAGCCTCCTCTTCATTTTTTGTGATGGATACACATACATGTAACTCAAAAATTCCCCTAAGAAAATTAGTCCTCACTTTCTGCTTTTGTGTGGACAGGACCAAGCAATGAATTCTGTGCATTGGCAAGTGTACACTGTATGAACACTTGTGTGTCAATGTACATCCATGTACATGTACCAGTACATGGATATACATGTACATGAACATGTATGTCCATGTTTAGAGTGGGTTGCTTTAGAACATGTAGAATGTTATATACCAGTACATGGTACATGTGATTTACTCCCAAGTTGTGTGACATTGTTGGACTGTTACAGAGCGGTTGAAAACATTCAAAACAAAAGTATTATTACTCTATTTTCAGTTTTGCTAGTTAATTAAATGGGATCCAAATGTGAAAAGACTTACCGTACATGTACATGTATGTAGCGGTATACCATACCTGTATTTGCCAAGTTTTATCTGAGCAGCTGTGTACTACGTACATGTGTACCGGTACATTGTGCAACTTTAATTTACAAAGCAGGCTGCAAAATGTACATGTACATGTACAAATGTGCATGTATGTATATCTCATGAAGTTTATATCCAGCAGCTTTGAAAACTGCCATTGCAGTACGTACACAGTACCGGTACATGCATCGGTACGTTTGCATACTGTACACCTCCATAATTGTATCTTGCTGCCATCTTATGACCTTGATAAATAAATAACACTCCTTGGATCTACATATTTTCATGTAAGTGAAAAGTCATCCTTTAAAGATGCTCTTACAAGCAGGTCATACATCTCTGTCATCAGGTCGCATTTCCTTTTTTTGAAATTTGAGCAATACAGCTTCACACACATACACATGTATATGTACATGTACTTGTTCCCTAGTTGTGGGGACAAACACAACTTTGTGTTTGACCTATTTTTTGCCCAACAAAAGAATAACCCGTTGAAGTCCTGCCCATGTATAATGCACAAACAGATACATGTAATGGCAAATATCCGATAGACTATGTGTGACCGGCTCTAGAAAAATGGGTAATAAGTCGCCAGATTCAGGTTATCAGTTTTTGATGTGGCTGGATTGAGTACATGTACATCAAAAGGTACAATTTGATTTATGAATGCCCCCATATGCACTGCGTTCCAGAGATATCCACATTTTTGGATACAATAAAAGCACTTTCTGAGCAAAAGCTCAGAAAGTGTAACACTTGGAAACACAATGCTATGTAGGATTTCCTACTGAATGATCAATTTTTCATCTTTATTTATCAGTATCCATGTTTGTAGTCACAAATTCTGAATACATAAATGTTATACAAGCTAATAGAGGAAAAAACACAAAATCACATTTTTAAGACATTTTGCCTTCTTCCAGAACAGGCCATAACATATTTTGGAATTGCACGACTTATTACCCTTTTTTGCAGAGTGGGTTACATATTGTTTAGAAGAGAATTACATATAATTATTGATATATTTTGGATAGATTTTTCTGGATTTGGGGATTTTAATGAAATTTACAATGTACATGTACCATGCCTACTACAGTACAGTACATGTACAGTACATGTAAATGTATGTACATGTACATGTATGTACAATGTACATGTACAGACATCCCTGTATATTAGATCCCTGTACAGTATGTTATCTTGAACACATCCAACTGTGTTGGTACAGTGTATGTGTACATGTAGATCCATCTGTGTCAATATGTACATGCACATGTAGGAGAGGGCCATGTTAGGTTAAGATTTGATTACCCTTTGGCAGTCATTTGTTGCCTGGCATCATGTTAGCTTGGCACTGATGGTCAACTGTTAGGAGGAAAAAATCACACTGTGGCAGTACATGTATGTGTGGGAGATTATATTTCATGTACTGGTACATACATGTACATGTACCGGTAGGTCGCAGTTACCAGTATCCATCATCTGATCATGCATTCAGTTGACAAGTGCAGATAAGCTTTCTTCCATCTTCATTTGCTGTGAAACCTTATCATGAATATTAGAGGCTGGAGGTTTTAGTGAAAAGAAGTTTCATCTATCAACACAATGTTATACTTTTTATTAGACTTGCGTTTAGTCGATTACTGTATTTCACATCCCCTTACATGTACCGGTACATATACAGGTATGTGTATGTGTACCGGTACATGTGCAGAGGAATATTTTCACTCTCATGAATATATTAACTTACTTCTATCTTGATTATACATGTACATGTATTTACCCAACTCTCCCAGCTTCCTAGATCTGTTCATGATCACAAGGAGTTTACGGTACATGTACATGGAGGAGTTTCTAAAACGAAGCAGTCAAAGTTGAGGTCAAACCTTTAATTACACTTAGACTGGAAGTGTTTAATTACAATTGGAAAGACTGTGCTAATTGTTGGCATCTATTTTGGCATGTCTACATGTACGGTACTTTATTTACCTGAAACTGTAACAAAAGTATTAAATATTTATAAAGTACATGTATAAAGTATCTGATAACGGAAATGCTTTGACTAATCATGTAGAAAAAGAATGGTTGCCAGCTGCACAGGAATAGATAAACACATTCATTTCATAGTGCTTGTAAACTTTTGACCACAACCATGACAACAGTACCGGTTCGTACACTACACTAAGGGGGGGACGTTTACACGTTTAAACCAAAAAAATTTCAAATCCGTAACTTGTATTCCCAAACATTTTAATGGAACTACCCCTTTTGTAGGTTTGGCATTTTGATTTCCACACACAATCTTGCTCTCACTTTTATTATATGCGATGCCTGTCTAATGTACATGTAATCTGATTTTAGGAACACTTTACTCTTGGTCATATCAAAGGAATACCACAGTTCACCACTGGAACTTTGTGTCAACAACTTACATTGTGTACAGTTTGTTTCAATGACACCATGGTAAGGTTACACATTGAAATGGTATGGGAAAGTTTTCTAAATGTTTTTCAAATTAAACGTAAATTCCCACCCTGGACCAGTACAATGTACATGTTTAGCCCAGTCGCTGTTACAGTTCTTTACAAAGAGCTTGATGGCCCTTGTACACTTACATGTAGTTTCCAACACAGTGGTAGATTTGAGAGGATTCAAAAAATCACAAAACTTTGCAGAAAAACGCCTCGGCAGTTAGAGTTTGTACAGTATGCAATGTACATGTACATGTATAAGCCCTAATGCTACGTTGTGATTGAGGCACACAGATCAAAGAAATTACCATTCCTTTGAAAATGTTGAGCTGCTCTTTTAGGATGCATCTCATGATCTCGATATGGACTGTTATTTGAGTTGAAGCAATCTTGAGGCAAGATTGATAGAGTACTTGATCTCCCAGTGATTGTAGTTTGCTTTACTCTATTTATTTTCTCCAGGGATCATTGACAAGCCAGAAGCCATGGTGGAAAGCCAACTTTTTTGTCCGGGAGCCTGTACTCTTCGGTACCTGGGATGGTGTCTTCACATCGTGCATGATCAACATTTTCGGTGTGGTCATCTTCTTAAGAACTGGCTGGGTTGTGGTGAGGAAATAGAGCAGCTTCAAAACTTTTCAACTTGAGCTGGGTCCGCTACAAAGTAGAAATGATTGCTTTACAACTAAACTCGGTTAGCCGAGTGGCAGAGAACCAGTTGCCAGCAACACATGTTTGATGAGGTTTGGGCTGGTTACCTGCGTTTGTTACAAACTGGAAGTTTTTGTATGCTTTTCAATGGTGACTCATCCTGTGAACAAATCTTGATACATGTACATGTATGTAAAGATCATACTAAAAAATGGTGCCCTAAGCAGTCTGTGCACACAGGAGATGTACATGTGTTGTACACATGTTACTTCAGTATTACACAGTACACGTACATGTACGTTATGCAATACTTGCATAATTCCTTGACATCTGATTGGTGGATCGTTGATCACATCTCATTGAATTAGTTGTTCAATTCAAGGATACCATTGAATAGAACTTCATTTCACCTAATTGCCTGGTTCTCGCCCCCATTTCATATATTTCATTCCCATTAAGAAAGAAGAAAATAATGAACCAGTCTAACATTGCACAGTACTGGTGCGATGGCCGCGCTGCAGAATTGAATCTGTTTCACAAAATGGTGGCCATTAATACAAGACGACCATTTGTTCTAACAGAAGAGGAAATGATGACGAGGATTTACAATGTACAGGTGTTGTATAAAACAATTAATATTTCACATTTGTGCAGTGGTAAGAATAATTTCATTTCAGTGACTGATGAAATGTTCCGTGCCGCTCAGCTTGACCTCGTGAAATAAAACATTTCATCTGTCACCTCATGTACCATTGTACTGGTAAACATTCAATGTTTTTGTCATACTCATTTTGTATGCATGTACATGTACGGTACCAGGATATGCAGACTATTATACATGTATATGTACACATGTGTATGGGTATATTTATACTATTAAATGTACGGTATAATAGTTTATTTTTCTCCTTTTTTTTCCCCACAGGGTAATGCAGGGATTGGCCTATCTTGCCTCATAGTTGTACTTACAGTTTTAGTAGCACTCATTGCTGCTCTAGCAGCCATTGGCGTCTGTGAGAGGTGTCATGTAGAAAGTGGCGGTGTCTATTTCTTAGTCTCCAAGGTTCTAGGAGCGAGGATAGGGGGAGCTATAGGGATGTTATATGTTTTTGGGCAGGTAAGTGCAAGAAAGGCTTAAATTGAAACAAACAAATGCTGATTGAACTGTCCATTTTAGGTCAGTTCAACTCACTACGGTAGCTATAGTGTTCATTGTAATTAAGCTGGAATTGGAATTCGGAAGTAGAAGCAGAACATGAATTCAGAAAATTCTGAATCAAAAAGGAAAATTCAGAGTGAAAACAGAATACCGTACATGTAGAAAGATGGTCAAATCGCCAAGCATTTCGAAGTTTTAACACCTGTACTACAATGTATTGCATAGCATGCAGTCACTAATGAATTAAGAAAATATAGAACACCTGGGCAGTTTCTAGCAGTAGGGAAAGTACATGTAACAGGCTGGGTGGTTTTATTACAGTGATAAACGGGTTAGAAGGTGTGCGATATTTTCCGTAAATGTTTTCCAAATCAACTCTAACCCCCAACAGAATGCAACACAGCTGATTTGAGAATCCTGCTTCATGCAGTAAACACATGTACATGTACATGTACGTTACATCCACATGCACTGTTGGGTTCTGTGGCACTGTGTAGTACACTGGATAAACACCAGCCTTGCCCCCCGTCAAGTTTTACAGTGTACATGTACATGTACTCTGCCTCTTCTAAATGCAATAATATATGTAACTTTTCACCACTGTTGCATTCTGTTTCATTACACAGAGATGGGGCTAAACCTAGATTTCCATTCTGAATCAGTGCATTTTGTTGCATTCAATGGATAGGGTTAAGTCTAGATTTCATCCTTGACCACTGCATGGAATTGTTTCCTCATGTTCATGCACAGACCGTGGCATGCGCCCTCTACTGCACGGGCTTTGGCGAGTCCATTGCCGAGACCTTTAATTGGGAGAACACTTGGGCAGTCCGGGGGGTGGGCATAGCCACCATCCTCCTCCTGCTGGCGGTCAACATTGCCGGAGTCAAGTGGGTGGTCAAGATGCAGCTGATCTTGCTGGCTGTACTGGGCATTGCCACGCTGGACTTCCTGGTCGGGACGTTCGCCCAGTCTGACCACGGTAAGGGTTGTAGTGTTGACAAATCAGTAGTCCCTTTCTCACGCCTTGTTTTCACCTCCAACGTTGCCATGAGGCCCCAGATTGACACTTTGGGCCCCTTACCATGGAAGCTGTTAGTCAGTATGGGTTCCATTACTACAACAGGAACATCATTGCATCTAACATTGTGCCAGAGGTTGAAGTCTTGCATAGTTTCATCATGGTTCCGAAACTGGGGACAAAACCTTAGTCTACATGATTCGCTATTTCCCCTGCTTGTCTGGCATAAAAATCATCACCTCTAGTCTTGAGTATGCTAGGAATTTATCTTGGCTCTGTGGCCCAGGAAGTGTCTCATAAAGTAATTTGGACCATGTGGAATGCTCCTTCTTGGAATGGATGGCTGTTTCACTTTGAACATGGCATTTCCTGATTAGAACGTTGCCTCGGAATGATCTACATGCACTGTATGTGCAAAGCAGACCATACCTACGCAAGGAACATTCCTGATTTTTTAGATGTTCAACTAAGAGGTTTGCAGTTCTAAAAAACCCTAGAAATCAGCAAGTTTAGTCTTGTGCATTTCCAGCATTGTAATGTACTGTTGGGAACACTTTTATGAGATTGTGTTACTGATAGCCTGTAGGCATCATTAATGTGTCCTCATTTTGTGTTGGAGTTTCTTACGTCCTCAAGACAACAGCATCCTCATATTATTATTATTTTATTGTTATTGTATTTCCAAGTAGGTCACTTGGGAGACATTTTGTGGTAAATTTTTCAACATTAGGGAGACATCGGTTATTAGGGAGACATTTCAATGTCTCCCTAATGCTCCAACTACCGAAAGGAGGAAAATTGTTACAGTCCACATTTTGAGAGATGATAGATTAGGGTCTGAAAGGAAAACATGCAAAGTTTGGTTAAGATCGGATTAGGGAATATTGAATTATGGGACGGTAAAGTTTGAAAAATTTTGTGCACGTTCCTATGGGAATGTCTCCCAAGTGACCCATTTTCGGTAAATATTACTATTATTATTAATTTTTATTTGGCCATCAAGCAAAACAATACAGAAACTGGCAGTGAAATAAAACAAACTGAACAAAAACAGAGGAAAACTGGACAATAGATAGTGAGGTGGATAAATGGAGAGATAAGAAAGGGAAAAATAGGCAAACGGGAGACAGGGACTAAATAAAAGGGTTATAAGCTGGCCTGGATACACAACAGTATAATTAAACACTGTGGGCCAAGGACCTATCCAAACTTAAAATGCCAACACACAACATGTATACATACACATGTATGATCAAACATTTGCATATTGTCAGTGCTCTGGGCCCAACCTCACTCAGCCACCACACAACACTCCCACACACCCCAACCCAAACCCATCCCACCTTTCTCAAGATACATCCAATTCAAGCCAGTGGCTGTCCTTGTGAAATGGCCCAGAGCACAGGAAATATACATTAAATAGTGCATTTCTATATAATTGATATAAAATTAGAATAACATAAAAGTAATCCTTTACAAGCTGGAAGTTGAAGTGTCATTAATCAGTTTAACAATAAATTTCGGAACATCCCAGTAAGTATAAAGGCAAACTACAGGTCATAAAAGTGGGTAATCAGGTTTCGAGTGAAACACGTTAAAGAGTCAACTGTCCCAGAGTCCTAATGTGAGATGGGAGGCTCAGCCAAATGCGTGCAAATGAAGGTATTGGGGTGTTCTTCAATTTAAGTGTTCTGACAAAGTGATGGCAGAAGGTTAAAACATCGAGATGGCGGGAATTCCTTCGTAGACTGTTTGAAAGATGTACTTGTTTATTTCATTTATTTTATTTCATGTGCGTCCAACAGTAGAAATGCCGATTACAGGATGATTATAACAATGAAAAAATGTTAAGTTTTAGAGGGAGGAGGAAAAGCTCTGGTAAATATTCCAGGGAAAACCCATGGCATCAGGCGGGAACTGAAAACTCAATCCACAAGCTGACCTAGATGGGATTCATACCACAGGTTGTAGTGATGTTTAGTAAAAAGTCGTAGTACCAGTTTAGTAAAAAGAAAAATGCCATGCTCACTTTGTGTTTTCCTTTTCTGCTGTCCTCAAGAAAATGGCGTCCTTGGCTTCAACAGTTTGGCCTTCACCAACAACTCAGGTCCCTCCTACCTGGAAGGTGAGAACTTCTTCACCGTCTTTGGAGTCTTCTTCCCGACGGCAACAGGTGTGATGGCCGGCATCAACATGAGCGGTGACCTGCGCAACCCCAAGAAGAGCATCCCCTATGGCACGCTGTCAGCCCTTGGGGTGACCACTGTCCTCTATCTGCTCTTCGTCTTGCTGCTGGGGGCTACCTGTGCTCGCTGGGCGCTGCAAGAGGACTACATGATCGCTGAGAAGGTAGGGGTGGACAACAGGTTGAGCTTGGCAAATTTGCCGTTTGCAAGGGTGGATGTGCAGTTGACACAGGTGTCTCTGTAATGTACAGTGGAATGCCGCTATAACAAACTGGACGGAATCCACGCTAAATGTTTGGTACAGCGGACGTTCAGTATAGATAAATTAAATGCCAAACGTTTTGTCGCCATGTTCAATAACGCCCTTTCTTCTCTAACTGAAGTCCTTCCTCTTGTGATTCTGTGCTTCGCTGTTTTCTTGATGGTTTGCCGTTGCACTCACATTTAAGGTTTCTAGAAATGTATATTTGTTCATTATATTTATTTTTTTATTAAATATTGAGTTACAAAATTGGTTTCAAGTTAATCCTAAAAGTTGTGATTAATCTTCTTTCAGCCGTAATGTTGTTTTGAGAATGAAATGTACTTGTAAAAACAATAAAATGAATACATGTATGATGAATGACAACATGATGAAGGGAAGGGAGAAGGTGCTTGTGTTTTATTTATATTTTTGTAGATTTCATTGACCGTTGAGCAGCCAATCCTGTATTCTCGAGCAATAGCTGCTTGCAAGGCTCCACCATCAATTCTCTTGATGATTTCTTACTTATCAGCATGGGCCATGATCTTTCTCTTTCTCATGACGAGCTTGGAAGGTTTCGGAATATGCAGCAGAAAACTGATGAAAGCGTAGATGCATACTCAAGCACTGTAACCAGATTGTAAGCTATTTTGGCCATTCGAACCTTTTCAAAAGTGGCCGCTGTCATCAAACTAAAAAAACTCATGTTTGGTAGGTTTTGTGCATGAAACATTGGGAGCCAAGGACGGTGTTCGGTGTAGCCCAATGTTCGGTGTAGCGGTGTACAGTATAGTGGTGTTCCACTGTAGTTGATCACGGTCTTTGGTTTGTTCTTTATCTGTGCCATATAAAAAGGAATGTTTATGTACAGAATCCATAAAATGGCAATTGCAGATGGCGGCAAATGCATGTAAATAGAGCTGAAGATACATCTGTTGTCAGTATCTGCCCACGCATAAGCACCTGGCAAAGACTAGACCAACATAATACTCTAGCTCTAGACACAAGGTTTGAATGCATCCATGTATATCATGCTTTAAAGGGGCAGACAACTGCTTCCCCTCCCTACATTTTGCCTGTGTGTGTATATTTGCACATGCATTGGAGGCAATAATTGGAAGTAGTAGTACAACCTCCTTGAGTTGTCTGACCAACTCCTCACCCAACTCGTCTTTCAATAATAAACAAGAATTTTTCTTCATTGTAACCTAAATTTATTCCCCTCCTTCGCTTTGCACAAAACAATAGTAAATATGTCAGATTTTTCATTTTGACCAAGGTATCTCTGGTGGGTTTCCTCTGGTTGATGGGCCTGTATATCTCCAGCTTGTCCTCCTGTCTAGGGGGTCTGTATGGAGCCCCTCGGATCCTTCAATGCATTGCCAACGAGAATGTTATCCCCATCATCAAAGTGCTTGGCCACGGGGTAGGTAGAATGTAGAAAAAAACAGTATGTACATGTACATGTATGTCCTGTGTGTATCGGTAGGATATTAGAAGATGTGTAACATTGTTGGGTTTGATCAGTGAATCTTCACGATTGCCCAGTGGCATTGTACAGTCGGGTGACCCTGTTCAAAATCTGTCCATCTTTACCTCACCTATTCCTTCCTATTCGCAGCTGTTGAAAAAGTTTTTTAAATTCCGGGTAAAGTTGGTTATTTTGTCCAGGATCACTGGACAGCACTAGAGGATCATACACATTCACCCATTGTTCAAAGCGGTGTAGTTTAAATATAAGAAACCCTGTGTTTAAGACTAGAAGGTTTCATTCTTAAAATATCACCTTTTGTGCAAGGGAAACTCCACAAAAATACCCTTTCTGTCCCATATGGAACACCATGCTTTTTTAATTGCACAAATCATCACAAAGGCTAGTGAGGTCAAAATGCTTGTAGGTATTGTTCATCCAGATGCCTAGCAGGAGAATGAAAAATACTGAAAATCTGTAAACATCTTTGAGGGTAAAACGTCTGTTCTGTGTGGGACCCAGACTTGCCCACAACTTTCTCAAAGAGAGCAAAAAGGCATAATGGCAGTTGCCCAGTGACTGAATTCTTAATTTTTTATTACAACCCCTTGATTGCAGAAAGGGCCCAACAAGGAGCCAATCTTTGCCTCACTGGTTGTCTGTTTTGTCGCTATCCTCTTCATCTTCATCGGTCATGTGAACGAGTTGGGACCCATCGTCACAATGCCGTTTCTTGTCACTTATGCAGGTGAGGAGAAATCTTCAACCAGCCTAATTTTGGCATGTTTTTGTTACACCTCAGAGCTCAGAGACCTAATTCCACCACACTGTTATTACATACGTTATCCGCCCCAAGCTCAAGTGCGCCCCCAATCAGTGAAAAGAAAGACAGGTGGTTACAAGTGGGTTCTTGCACACGTTCTGCGTGTACGCAAAGACCATATATGCCAGAATAAATTAGTTGCGCGTACTCAGCGTGCTCCACGTCAAACATGCTAGTACTTGCACGCCTCATGGCGCGTATGCGGTGAGTACCAAAAAACATGCCCTCTTTTGTTCCTCTCAGAGTGGATTGAAAGTGAAATCAAGCCTCATGCGTGGAGGTAATCTGTACAGACTGAGTGCTGAGGGTTTTGATCATATATGTACCAGTAGATAGAAATATGAGTTTTGGATTTGATTTATTTTCAAGCCTCACTTTTACTATAAAATACTCAGTTAACGCCTTGCCTTAGGCTTGATTCCTTCCATGTAATTTACAAGGAAGGTGTCCGAAACAGACTGTTGTTTTTCGCGCCAAGATTGGACCCGCTTTTATTTTATATCATTTACTTAATTGATGCAGAACAGTAAGAAATGGACTGTTGCAAGTTCCCTTTTTGTTTTGATATCGACCGATAGCCATGGACTATGCCTACTTCTCCCTGGCCATGAGCTATGACAAAGAGAAGAGCGCCAAGTCCAAGAAGGAGAAGGACAGCCTCCTGGCGCATGTCATCAATAAGAGCGACGACAAGACGACCTACGGTGCCCTTAAGGCCGAGGATGCCCAGCCAAAGGACGACGCTTTGCGAGAGTTCAAGGAGGACATTGACAAGGCCGAAAGGATGTTCCCCAAGAAGGACATGGCCAAGCCCGGCGGGGGGTCAGGAGTGGGTGGGGACTATGACGGCTGGGGGGAGAAGAATAGAGGGGCTGGGGACGGTCCAGTGGATGTCAGTGACAAGGAGGGGCTGATAGATTCGACTGACAGTCAAGAAAAGCAAGGCAAGTAGATTCAACTGTGCACATCATAGCAAATCTTGAAGATAAAGGAAACCGTCAACACTCCAAAATGAATCTCAAGATGTCTTTGTGCCCTGTTCTTACCACATATGGACCACAGTAATTCTGTTGTACAACAACTTACGACTTTCATTTAGTGATTCTAGGGTCTCACTGAGCTTTGTGGAATAATGTAGCATTCATACACATGGGAAGCGGGAGGTTCTGGGTTTGAATCCCACCCCAGGAAGCTTATGAGGTTTTCCCACAAGCTTCTAGAAAGCACTGAGCGTAAGCTTCTTGTTATAAATTGTATTTTTATGAACACAAACCAGACATTCAAATTTAGTCTTCCGTGTTCTAGAGCTTCATCACTATTCATGGACATTTGTGGGTCTGACTTTATGCAGAAAGCGTAGCTATGCATGGTGTCCTTTGGTGTACTTTGAAATTCTTGATTGAAACTCAATTTCATCTTTTGCGGCCAGTTTGAGAGCCAATTTTCCTTTTCTTCTTGGATGTCAGACAAACATCCTTTTTTCAACCCTAAAGATGTCTGAAATTATCACCTGGTTTGCTTTACACACCACAGATAATAGCAGACCATTTGGCACTGTGGATCGCATGCCAGCATCATGGTATTCCCGATTCTGTAATCGATGGGTTTCTTTCATTGGGGTGAGTAATACTCAACTAGAGCCATTCATAGGCTTGTGGGGACATGCTAAAAGTAAGATTAGATTCACCCAGTCTAGTTTTTTATTCTTGGTATATGTGTCTGATGATTTAACGGCTTGGTCAGGTGAAAAATGCAAAATGAAAGAAGGGGTAGCTTGAGGTTTGACCCCGAGGTACCCACAAACACGGTTATGCCTCGTAAAACCTTTAGGTAATCAAGGCTACATGTACTGCATTCATCCCTTCTATTTTTACTTCTATCATGTCTATACATCTCAGATCTTAGCTGCCCTGGTCATCATGTTTGCCATCCAGTGGGGCTACGCTCTTGCCAATGTCTCTGTCTACTTAATCCTGTACATCTACATCGGCCAGGCTAACCCTGGGGTGTACCCTGGCATCTCAGAGTTCAAGTTCTTCCAGTGGATCAAATCGCTCTTCACCAGGCTATGCAGGTAAGTGGCCTCTAGTTTTTCTTCCGGAATGAAGACTTTGACAACATTTTGGAGGAATGGGAACATAGGGCTAGTAAGACCAGTTGGCACTGCACATGTTTGGTGTGCCAGAGATTGCAAGATTGAAATTCTCGGGTTAATTCCTTTCAAACCAAACAGTTTTAAACAGTGCACAGTGTTCCACAAATGATTTTCATTAGAATGCGCACAAAAAAGTGAGCATTTTGTGATAGTGTGTCAGATTGTTCCCTTGAGTGGGACTAACCCTGTTTTGTTAACTTCTTTGTTCAACTGAAAATGTGACTGTCATTTCTTAACTTTTGTTGTTTTGTTCTTATATCGTTTGGCTTTTGTCACAATTATTTCCCTGCATGTTTTGCATCCTTGTATCATGAGTTATCAGTTGGTATTTGGGCCGTTATTTTCTAGTTTGGTCATTTTTACATGCATGCAGTTGTTTCGCTTTTTATTGATTCTATATGTTTTTGTTATTTTGGGGTAATGTACATGTACAGTAGCTTATTTGTAAAAAGGTAGAAAAGTTTGTTAACAGAAGTGTAACATAATAAGGTAATTACTCCAGGATCAGAAAGGCACCTGAAGCGTTGTCCCTTAAGGTTAGCCGGGGTCAGCCTGAGGTCAAGTGAAAGTCAGCTCTTCCAGGAATCACCTCTTGCTGGTCTTGCTGGTTCTGCTGAAGCTCGCTGCTGATCATCTGCCCTCTTCGGTGACAGGAGCTGAAGAAACTTGGGTTTGTCATTCTCAGTGCATTCACAGTGGATGTTGGATCAATGCTGTATTGACTTTGTGCATTTACTAATGAGGGCGCCAGCAAGGCGGTGGGCATTGTAATAGGTCCTCTCCAAAAAAATGTGCAGCTGCACCTGCATGTGGAAGCCACAGACTTGGGCTGAAGCCACTTCTCATAGACATTTATGTTGCTCCTGGCCGTAGCCTCAGCATTTTGACTTCGTCTTTTGCCATTTTCTGGATCCTTACATCTGGTGGTGGTGGTGGTGGTAGTACGGTAGTTTTCTCTGGTAGCACCAAACATTCCCCTTGGAACCCGCCTCATAGAAATGTAGAGTGTGGCCATGGCAAGCAATCTTTATGGAACCAGTCTATTTTTGTCGTCCTGGTAACTACTGTACTGCAGTAAAGACACATGAAAGGGTGATGGCACCAGACTATTTCAACCCTGTTGCCATGCATGACACATGGAACTGTTCATGAGATGCAGCTCTGAAACAATAATGGTGTCTTATGAGTACGTTGTTAGATCCCCACATTTATGAATTGAATATTTATAAGGTGTAATAAAACAAATACAGCCTGGTTTATTTCTGGAAAGTTTGCGTCGGGAGGTAGTCAAGCTGACTTTCACCTCGGGACTAGTAATTCTAAACACTTCCCATCAAACCATGCTGTATATGTGTTATACTGTTTTTTTCTGAGATTTCAAGTTGTGCATGCACAGGTTATCCATTTTCTCCAGGAAAATCAATGTCTCATAAACCTTCAGACCATCAGTGAAATATGAGGTGGTGCTGGTCATAAACGTGTGGTGGTGGTTTGTTGAAAATGAAAGTTAGAACTTTCATCAAATCTGGAAAATTAAACTCTGGATGAATCTCTCCGTTCCCTCACAATCCACCACGTGTTCCACCCTCCACTCACTGCTCCCCCATTTTACCACCACCAACAACCCCTTCCCTTTTCACCACCGCCACCACCTGCAGATCAGGCCCACCCCCTCCTGACCAATTCGTCCTTACCCCGCTTCTCCCCACCCCGGGGATGGTAGAAGAGACGCAGGTGACGGAGGTGAACGGCGACTTTGCCGAGCGCAGCCGGTACCACCACTCTCGCCTGATGAACCCCAAAGGCGAGGAGTCAATGGAATGGGAGTATGAGCCTGCAGGACTCCTGGATGAGGGGGACCAACTGTTGAATAGGCCAGAGCAATGACAGACCAAGGGGGATACAGGGTTGGAAGGGGTTTGCAATCATGTACAGAAATGTGATGTGAACTCAGTGAGTTTTTTTAGGTGAAGGGGATCAATTGTTGAAGGGACTTGAGCAATGACGAACTGATGGGCACTGGTTAAAGGTTCCATGGGGGCAAGGGACCAGGGAGAAGCTTGTGCGAGCATGGTGTGAGCAACCTAGTGAGGATATGAGGTAAAGGGGACCAGATGTTGAATAGGCAGGAGCAGTGACAAACTGAGGGGTACTGGTTATGACCGTTAGTGGGAGCTGGGTGATTAGGAACAGGTGCAAGAAATTGCTAGTGCTACTTTTAAACTAACACTATGAATAGGGATATAGTTGCGTGCTATAAAAATGGTCAGTTTAATTTTATGGTAATCTTGAAGGGTCAGAGGGTAGGGCCTGTCCACGTGGTGCTCAGTGACACATACCCGGGTACTTGTACATGTAATAGATCAGTGGATTAGACTAGATTTTATTATTGACACACAGATCCTTGTCATTTTGATTAGTGGATCACCATCAATTGACATTCATTATTGGTGTCATTCACCCCAGGGTTCAAAAAGCCCCATTGGTGAATGGAATCTACGATTCAGTAGTCGGAATCATCCTTGTTCCTACATGTACGGCCCGTCACAAGCGTGCGCACTGATTCATCCCAGGTGTACCCTTTCCCAAATAAAAGGCATTAACTTTCACAAAGGGCATTAATTTGAACAACCCAGATGTGACAACCAAAACCTGTGAAAACTGTAACTGTTGATTCTAAAAGGCGTTATTGATTCCATGATTTGTTTTAATTTCTGGAATATTGAGAATGTTAAATTTGTTCAAAAATGAAAGCAAATTAAGTCTGCTAGGAGGATTCTTGTGTAATTTGAAATCATTTTTAAATTTAACTTTTAAAACAATTGAATGACAGGGATCTGTATGTCAGTTATATAAATCAAAGTCCAGATTTTACCTTGTGATAAAATTCTCCCACTCTGAGCCACACAATATTTACGTTTATGCTATACAAGGAAATGTATTCAGTTGTAAAAATTTCTAACTCTCAAAGACAGTTACTGTGCACTCAGTTTTCTTTTGTTGTGTTTAGATCTTTCCTCCATGGCATTAGTTCAACTTCCCGGTATATTCCAGTCATATGAAGCAGTTAATGGTACTTTTGACATTTGAAATTCATGAATGCAGTGTAATAAAGACAGTTTGTATCTGAACCGGTACATGTACTTAAAAGTCTTTTGCAGCTTGGGTCCAATTTCAACAAAGCACAGTCAAGTTTAGCTAAGCAGAAAACAGGTTACCAGCCGAAAATGTGTGATCATGCATTGCTCATATCTATGATTACCGGTTCTCTGCCAAATACTGTTTACATGTACATGTATAAGCCTTGTACTGGTATACATGCTTAGCAAAAAGTACACGTACACTGTACCAGCCATTCAGCCAAACTTTCATGTGTTTTATATGTACTTTTTGACTTGGTCTTGGCCTCCTTTGCTTTAAAGCATAAAGGTACATGTACATGTACGTGTGGTTAGTTTAACAGTATTTTTACCAGTGCAGACTAAGACTGGGCCCAGAGTTCTTTGCATATGTGGTTACGTGTACTTTTAATTGAAATAAACAGCAAAGCTTGAATGACATTTGTTATGGGAGACTTTGAGGTGCTTGGTGGAAGCTGACACTGGTCCATTTTGCTCATTCTGGGCATGCGTGTGCAAATCTGGGCATACACACCACCAAGCATCTCAAGGCTTCCCATAGCATTCATGTACACATTGTTTTCTATTTATAAAGTAATTATACACATACAATGCAGAAATTATAAGTTACTGTGTTATTTTAAATTTCAAGTTAACTTTTTTTCTCTAAGTCATTACAAAAGACATTCTTGGGTTTTTTCTTTTGTTTTTTCAAATCATAAACATGCTACATTGCAACAGATGTTGACCAACAGAGAGCATTTCTTCTCACATCCACCGGTTCACGCTGAGAGACAAATATCTCCGAACAGGGCCCAGGTTACATGCCATTGTAGGTCTGTATGATTTGAGCCTGTGTCATCTGACGACTTGGAAAAAAAATAGTCACAAATGATATGTGGCTACATCTCCATGGCATCACATGTGTAACATTCACCTGAAATCTTACAGATCATTCTTGATTGATTCTTGAGATTTCATTTTGAAAGTTTGTTTTTTGAAGCAAAGGAATTTTAAAGCTGTCATAAACTTAGAGTCATGACAGTGCACGTACTTTACAACTCTGAAACACTTGTAATTTGCCAATGAAATGTTTGCTTTCTTTATTTACAAAGTGGTAGTTTTGACTTAAATGTATTTATGGTGAAATTGTGAAATAAGTTTTGGTCACATTTTTGTATTGTTTTTAGTATCCTTTTGCCAAATGTTGTTGAAATGCATATTTGACAAACCAGATCACAATTGTTGCAATAGAGCCTGAAGCAGAAAATTAAGAAACTTTAGAATTCCATTTATACATGTAGCCGGCACACTTTGCCATTTATGATCAGTAATCAGTTTGAGTAGGAGAACTTTGAGCTTCTTGTTTTCTTTTCTTATTGGAAGAGTGCAATTTGATGAGTGGCAGTCGCAATGCAAGAACTCGGTGTCTTTTTCCATAGTTTATGCATTGTTTGCATGATTACAAGTTAATAAATTTATCATGATTACAAGTTAATAAATTTATCATGACTATTACACTTGTATTTAAAAGCCAAATAAATTATTCTTATGTATGGTACCTTAAATGTGTGGTTTTGTATGAATGTATGAATATCCTCAGCATTGACTGTCCTTGTTTTCCACTGTTCAATGGACATCCTGTTGTGATTGTGTCTTGCTGAGTCAGGAGAGTACATTCTGCTTTGCATTAGCTTAGATATTTGCGTTTATGAATGTATTCTTGTATTTTGTGATTCAACTGCCATGTGCAGGGCTGCAAAAGTGCAGGTAATGGTTCTTTATTTTACTTTTCCAATCCCTTAAACCTACGTACATGTAACTGTCACTTGTATTCAATTGATGTTTGCCCATGGTTCCTGCGTCTGCTCATTTTTGTCTCCTGTTTTTGTGGTCGTTGTTCAGCCGTGTTAATTTAGTTTTGCTTGTACCCTGTTCTCTTGTTACCTTGACTCGGTTAAATAAATGATACTCATACTAATACCGAGTTACACACACACGATACATGTATGTGTGTAACTTTTGAAACCCCTTTAAAAAAACCTTCAAAATTTGTCTTTCTTGTTTTGACCATTGTGACCATTTAGCAAGAATCTACTGTTTAGAAATTTAATTGAAAAGGTATTTGATGAAAATACGTAAAATGACTTTCCAGTTTCAAAGTGTGATTCGGCTTTTTGAGTTGGAATAGTGGCAATGGTACATTTAATTACCCTTTGTTTTTAAAACTCATTTGTCCCTTTTCTCTGACCTTTCCACTTCTTTCATCTCCCTCCTCCATAATGAGCAGAACGTCCCCGCCCCCAGAGGAGCAGATGGTGGTTCATTCGCAGAACTTCGTGCCACAGATCACAACCGAACAACTGACAGAAGACAACCAGGACTTTGCCTCCAGGGGGCGCTATCATCAATCCATGGTCAACAATGCCAACTTTGATGATTTTGAGTATGGCCAGGAACAGTAGCAAAGCCTTCTCACCAAGGTTTTTTGACACCAGAGGGCAGTATTACCCATTTATGGTCAACATTGCCGGCCATTTAGGCATTTTTTATAGATACAGGTGAAACTTAGCTTCAAGGGTCAACAATAGATGTAACAAATTAATCATCAGCAAAACCAATTGACAACACACTGTCAGTTACTTTTTCATTGCCCGGTAATTGGCTTTGGTATAAAATACCAAGAATTTTTAGCATTGTCAACAAATAATATTTTTATTTGTAAAGGGCATACTTCACCAATTACTATTAGCAATACATCACAAATTCTTGACAGCATGTGAGCACGTATCTCCATTATAATCCACAGTCTCCTTTAAAGAAGTCTCTTTTCTATTTTTCCTCTCACTGACAAGTGTAAAGTACTTCTGCCTTTTTTGGTCGCAAAAGAAAATGGACAGTGACATTTGGATAAGGTTGAATTGCACTTTAAAAGTATTCAAAGACATATACTTTTCTGCACCCATTGTTGTATTCAAATGTGAAATCAGAAATGATTATAAGTTCCATTGATTCAAAGAAGTTGATATTGATATAAGTTATTATCAGTGTAGATTGTTCTAACTGTATATTAGTTACGTGTATGTGTTGAGTAGCAAACATTATTGATCTGTATATACATGTAAGTTAGATAAAATAACATAGCAGCTGCAGTGTAGAGTTCATGTTATTCATAGCTTGTACATTTGAGTTATCTTTGTCAAATTGTTTTCATCCAGAATCTTAATACAGTAGTTCTTGGTTTTGAGATCAGCACTGAAGTGCAATTTAACCTAGAAACAGTGAATTTTGGGAGCTTACTGAACCCAACAGATTGTAACACCTCAATCAAAAAGTTCAATGCAGAATGGAATCCAACAGGTGTTTGGCGTGGGATTTGCAGACAAAGCTAGACAGGGGTTTTAGAATCCTCTGGTACAAGCTCCAAACAACATCTAGACAGCAGAAATGTTTAGTATGATGTTTATTAAGACTCCTGTTTCCATTTTCAGTATCCAAGGGCATGGATGTGGTAGTTATTGAGGGTGATGTGTCCTCCAGGGTGATTTGTTAAAGGATTATACCTGTGTGCCGTCATTTCTTAATCAACACTGCTCGCGTTAATCATGTATAAGACAATGTGTGCCAATTCACCTGTGGCTAAAGTGTGCATGTTTCAAAGGACTAGTGATGGCCACAACTGCAGCAGTCATGTTGACTGCAGGTGGTTCTGGCTAGATTCACTCACGGTAACTTCACTCAATGGTATCTTCCCCAAAGTAGGTTTGACATATTCCAGTTGGTGTACATGTATGTAGTTTCAGGGATAACACACATGTTTAACAATATACTGTACATGCGGATGTTTTGGAGGCCAAAAACAATAAGAGGACAAGCTTTTATCACAACTTGGCCTCAACTTTCCCAACAGAAGAAATTGTCTCAACGTAATAACAGCCTAGCCAGTGTATCTGGCTGTGCTTAGTAACAGCATTCCATTAAGCAGATAGGGGAGGAGGGAGGGGTCTGAACTTCAAAGCTACTAGGCCCAAGGGCACTGCGAATAAGACAGGTGCATGTTCCTAATTTTATTGTTGAACTGGGTTAACACGTTACCGTAGTGTGTCACTGTTGCAGTACTGTATGATTGTATTGAAATTGTTTTAACCAAAGATTAGTTTAATCAAATTGTTCAAACAGTGCCAAGTTATTGTCAGTGAGAGTCTGGGATCTTACTTGATGCAAACAAAATGCTGTTGTTCTATGAAATGACACATCTATAAGTTTTATGTTTCAAGGTGTTTTCAATCCCAAAGAAATTTGTATGATTTACTGGGGATCTGGAATTTTATTTAAAGTGTATGGTCTGAAAATTTGATTTTAAAATCTTCATTATCTAATGTAGTTTCCTTCAATTATATTCAAAGTTTAAGCTGAAATAATTTCAAGATGTTGTAATTCCTTTTATTTGGTAAGATAAAATTTTTGAACCTCTGCAGGAAAAGTGTGCTGATGAATACTGCACACGTGGCATAAACTTCTTCCAAAAAGACAATATATTTAGAATATAAATAAATGCATGTAAAAATGTTGACTTGTCAAGTAAAAATGTTTATGATGCGTAAATATATACATAGAGATGTGTACAAAAAAGTATATGTAATGTACATGTGAAGTTCATTGTGTTCAATAACTATTCAGTGGTCAGTACTACATTTATGATTGGGCAAGGTCCACAACTACTGATCCAATGAGATTTCAGTATTTAACTTTATTCAGATTCTTCATGATGGACCAATCAGAGTGATTATTAAAAGACTTCTCTTACAGGGCACAGAGTTTTCTCTATTGGTCAGTCATGTAACTTCTCTTGGGAAAAAATGGAATGATCCTCAGAATGTCTTGAACCAACAAACTCTACCACTATAGGCAGACATGTGGTCTCTATTAAAAAAAGTGGCAATAGGCATAAGGATTATGACTTGTCAGGCTAAACAATATAAACAGAACTTTGTATATGCACAATATATGAGTTAGATTGTGTACAATTTAATACTTGTACCGTTGTGTATGTATGTATGGTTTGGTATGTTAATAAGCATGGCATGGGGTGCACAAAATCCGTGCTTCAGAACCATATACGTGTACTTCAAAGTCACAATGTTAGTCTGATGTTGAGAATTTCTCCAAGTAGCATGGTTTTAGCTAAGCTCGAGAATGCAACTAGACTGTCTTACCAATGTACATTAGAGCACTCAGTTTTATTCACTTGAGTGGAGTTTATAGTGCAATGTATTGTGTTGTTTGACATTCCATAGTGGAGATTTAGCTGCAAATACATTGAAAAAAAGCACATTCCTATTGTAATTTATAGCCTAAGTGTATGCCAGGGGTCTCATAATTTATAAAACATGAAATCAGGGAATATTTTGAAGCACAGTAGCTGTCAAGTGTGGTAGATACTCAGTGACTGTGCATATCTGCTTTGTGCGTGCCTAGGCCCTCTATCAGGGAAACCTGTCCAGTTGTGCTCAGTGGGAGTGACTTTGGGTCTGTTGGAGCATGTGACACCCACTCATTGTTTTAAATAAACCGCTTTGTGTGCAACATTCAGAAAATATTTCCTGAAGTGAGCCTTGTAGGCAAGCACAGAGGGGATGGCCGTAGCCACGGACGTATTTAAAAAAAACCTGGACTTGCAACGCCTTTGTATGAAAAAGAAGCCAACCAGCGGCCATTTTACCGAGCCGAATACAAAGGCATGGGTTGGCTCCCTACTATTGACGTCAGGAAGAACAAAGGCAGGCATTACCAAGAAAGCTTTGTATTCGGCTCGGTAAAATGGCTGCGAGTGGATTCAATGACTCAATAAGCTGATTAAGGGCATTGCGAGTCCAGATTTTATTATACACGTCCGTGGCCGTAGCCTGGTTTTAATAGTGTAATTCACACGTACATGTAACAACGCTGAATAAATGTCCCAAGTGTCGTACACGAAAGTTGCAGGGTATAGCGTTCAGATTCAAAGTTGTCTTCGGGGGGGAGGCTAACTTTGAAAAGTAAACCAACCGATGCCCAACAAAACCTAACCCGGGCCAACATAACACAGCACCAACCCACACAAGTGTGTTGACGCCTTCGATCGTGGATTCCCATTGTTCCTCTTTTGTTCATACTTTAACTTTTTCGGAAGACCTCCCATGTGTTTTGTACACATTTTCCAACCTTGGACTCTTCGGCAACCGTGGACCCTATTGTCCCCTTTTTTTATAGGGCCACGATTTGAATGTGTATACAGACTCAATCCAACACAATACACATACAATGCAATAAAACACAACATAACCCGACACAGAAACAACACAAACAAGTGAAGAACGTGGTTTTGGTTTATTTCTTCTGCTCCAGTGCAATGAATTTTAATTCATTAAAATTACAACAAAGCAGCATCACATCAAATTGTTTCACAATTTGGGAACAAGAATACCGACTACACATCAGGATCAACACTCGGCACATGTCTCTGTCAGTGACAATGCCGTTGCTCCTGAGTGGAAAAAAAATTGGTATTGTTTAATCACTCTTATTATTCAAGGCAATTTGTGGCAATCGGTATTACAGGTACTCAAAGTTGATTTAAGTGCTTCATTTGAGGAGACTTAAGTACATATAATTCAGATACACTGCTTTTAAATCGAGTCTGAAGTCAAAAAGCTCAAGTTTAATTACTTGCTCTTAAATATGGCACAGTTCAACAGTTTTAATCCACTGACTTCCAAAATATATTGTACTTTCGGTCACACGGAGTAATGCATTTGAAAAAGTTCACTGCAAGTGTACTACTCTACTGCACACAGAAACAGAGAGATTTTGTTAAGCACGAAGCTAGTAATTTGAAATAAAAGTAATGTCCAGCAACTTTCATTCTACAGCACACTGTCAAGAGCTACCAGGTAGATCCCATTAAATGTTCTAAAAACTACGGTGAAAAAACAATGAAAATCTGAATAATTTCATGCAGATTACAAATTAACAATGTTGGAAGTTTTCCTGATAACATTTTTTTGTAAAAACATGTTAGAAATCACAACCACCTCAGTACTGAAGAAAGAAATAGTTCCATTCAGTTAAAAAGCAACATCGTTCAATATCAGTTTTACGAGCTGTTTTTAGACACATGTCACCCTGTAACATTATGACACTGAATCAATATTTCATCAATCATGATGTGTTGATCTGAAGTCAGAGAATAAGTGCAAACTGTTCTGTACTTCATAGTTCATGTAAAACCGAGCCAACATTAGTGACAAATCCATATTCCCAACAATCCTTCAATTTCATTGAATGAATTTTTTTTTAACTTTCAAGGCCGCAACTGATGGCATGAAATCGTCCCCATCCATACAATTCCATCCAAATATAAGTCTTCACTTCAACACAAAATAATAATAAAAACCCACAAATTCTTTGGTGTAAAGTGTTTTGCCACTCTTAGGATAAATGCTAATACAGTCCACACAAAGGGCATGGACAGAGGCATACCGCATCGGCAAGGACTTTACATGGATTGATTCGGAGGGAAATCATTTACTTTTCTCAGAAGATTAACTTATACGTACCATTCCCTGAATTATGGGGTTGCCCACCACTGTAGCACTGTTCATGCAATACAGTGAGTAATTGAGTGATGTAGCCAATGAAGGTTTAATTCAATCCCATTTTACCAGGTTTGGAACTCTGTCAACCAAATGTATACTAAAAACATATAAAATGTCTTTTCCAAAGGGAAAAAATCATTGGGGTTTTGAAGGACTCAGTCGATCTTCTTGGATGAGACTCCCCCGATGACCTTCTTACGTTGGCGAATCATGTGCGAGTAGAGACGAGGGAAAACTGTCATAAATTAAAAAAGAGAACTAATGACAACTGCAAAGTGAACAGAAAAATGACGCAGGAAACTATACAAGTTTATGGACAGGTGTAAAGCACTAAATCTGCTTCAGCCTATATTCCTAACACTTTAAGTCATATGACTATCTGCTTAGGGAATGCTGAATTGTTTTCTGAGGCCATAAGCAGGTTAAAAGACTATTACGGGTGCATCAAATTTAACACAGTCCCATATACTTTTCAAATTCTAGTCCCTTTGCACTTTATATTTTCATGCTAGTTACAGGTTTTTCAACTTCCTCCCCAAACCTTTTCAATGCCAATGTGAATACACTGCCAGTTTGTATGCATTAAAATGAAAAGTTGAAGAGTGAATTTCCCCATACCTGCACAAACCCTTACATTACATATGCCGTAACTGTTAAGACTGGTACCATGGTACATCACTCACTTGGTATGTACAGCAGCATGAGGACTATGAGAAAGCTATAGTAATCAAATGAGATGTTGAGGTCATTTGGTAGCGTGACAGAGAACAGACCACTCTCCTTGACATGGGGGAGGGCTGCGTAGATCGTCAGAAGCTCGCCCTAATGGAAAACACAGAGTCTTACATGACAAATGAGCACACACATTGGCAAACACTTCCACACAGGAACACATGGGCCCAAATTCAAATTTTCTTCCACACCCCATTCCCTGTTCCCCCTGAATTTATGATTCCTTCCTGCCTAGTAAGTCAACTTACCGTAACTCCAAGAGGGTACAGAACTATGAACAACGTGTATCGGCACCACGTCAGGACATAAGGCAGACGATTCAAAAGTCCCAATGTATAGAAGGCATATCGCATGACTTCTGTCACTGTCCATGCAGCAATGTAGAGCGGTACACTGATTTCGTTTTGAACCTGACCATTTGCCAACAAAACAGAGAAAAGTGAACCACAAATGAAATTTATTTTTATGTTCTGAATTTAATTCATTTTGCTTCATCTCTGAAAGTACAAAAAGGTAAGTGTAAATGCTTCTCATGAAATTCCAAGTTAAACCTACAAACTTGGCTGATAAAACATTCGGCAACTACTCTGCCTCATAGAAATTTTGGAAAATTTTGTTGGCAGTAAAAATTGGTCTTCCGTTATTGAACACTTTAGGACCTGTCTACACTCAATATGGAGTACTGCTTTCTTAAGAGATTGGCCACACGGAACTAACAATTATACCCAGTCTTTTATTGGTCCAAACTTTCCTTATCTGTGAATTATGACATGTGACTCACCACATATCTTAATGTTGCTTTATATGCTAATCATTGGTCCCCTTTCATCTCACCTGTGGTATAGCATGCGTGATTGGCCAAAGCAACATCACCCTGGAGAACACCTGGAATGCTGTGAGCACCACAGAGGAAGGCACAATCCCAATAGCACAGTGGAATACCTGCAAGTTAAATTAACATTCATTATTCAATGGTTAGTGAGCCCATGAAAAGAATGGTATAAACCACAAATGTCTCCACTCAGATGTTAGTTTTGTGACATTTTAAACCCCATGATTGAGACCTTCATGTCAATACGGGCAGATTCACAACACTGCGCCACCAACAGTTTGCAACACGTTGGCCAATCATAACGCACAAAATTTGTTGACCCTTTCCAAACACTCACTGGGTTGACAAAGTTCGCGCACTGTGATTGGCCGACACGTTGCAAACTCTTGGTGGCACCACTATTGTGAAACGGCCGTATTCAACACCATTTTCATCTGATTCAAGATTTCAAGATTGAAAACTGATTTAAAAATCAAGACTTCAAAAAAAATCCAAAGTCTGAAACAAAGCAAACATTTGGGAGAAAGCTTTAAACTGGAGACCTGACCTAAAATCTTTCAATGGTTACAATTTATGGTACAGTCTGTTTTTAGGGATACATTCATTTGAGACTGAACCAAGGTTTGAACAGTGCTGTAAGTCACTAATGTGTGGTCTTTAGGCTTTTTCCTAGACAAGGGGGTTACCTCCAGGATAGCTCCAGTCTGGAACACCTTCAGAGGAATCTCCACCGTGTCGTAGATACCAATATGTGACTTGGTTTGCAAGTAATGGCGGACCCCCATGACACCAACAGCAGTCCATCTGGAAGAAAATTTCATTGTAAAGACCATGATTCCAGTGTATCACCCAGTGGGCATGATGGGTTTTATGTGTCACCAAATGATGAAGCTGTGCTTAAGAAACCAGCTGGGTTTATAAAGAAGATAGAGCAAACGCATTTGAAAGCAGGCAGACATGTGGCATTAAAACAATGATGACAATCGTTGTTTACATTGTTTTCTATGGGGGCTTGTTAGATCACAAAGTGTGATGTCATTATGTTACAGGGCCAGGGGTCAACATTAAACAGGTGCACCAGTGCTTTTGCATCCGACAAACCATGATTAGCGCCTGGTAATCTGTAATAAAGTGAGAGGTCGGGTGCCGAAATTAGTGGCTGGCTGTTACTGATCTTGTCTTCACAAAACACCTTTCTACAACATGTTCTCACATTAAAATGACCTTGTTTTCAAGAGGCATGTAATCGGAAGCAGAACCATTATATTTTGGCCTAATAATGACTCTACCTAAAACAGCTGCCAGGTTCAGTGAAACAGCTCCAGAGAACTCCTGAAATTTGTAAGGCCAGGACCTGTTTTTAGCTTCTGGGCAAAAAAGCTTAATGTCAACCCCTCCAGGGCCCTTATGGAACAAACAATTTATTGTGCCAATCAGATGTTAGTAAAGTTCAAGGCACATGAGTATTTTTAAAGGCTGATTAACTTAAAATTATTAAGATCTCTATAAAGCCTCTGTCGATACCCATGCTTAAATTAGATTGAGTGCTGTTTAGTGTACAGTGAATTTTTTAAAATCACACTGAGGAGGTTGGATGTAGGGTGGGGGTTATGTGCAGGAGTGGGTTGGAGAAGGAAGGTGTGGATGCAGGAGAAGGTTCAATGCTGGAGGAGTCTGGATGTAGGAGGAGGTTGGATGCTGGAGGAGGTCCGATGCAGGAGGAGGTTCAATGCAGGAGGTTGGATGCACGAAGGGGTTGGATGCAGGAGGAGGTTCAATGCTGGAGAAGATTGGATGCCGGGGGGGGTTGGACACAGGAAGTAGTTGGATGCTGGAGAGAATTCGATGCAGGAGAAGACTCGATGCAGGAGGTGGTTGGATGCAGGAGGAGGTTGGATGCAGGAGGTAGTTGGATGCAGGAGGAGGTTTGATGCTGGAGGAGGTTGGATGCTGGAGGAGGTTGGATGCAGGAGGTAATTAGATGCAGGAGGAGGTTGGATGCAGGAGGAGGTTCGATGCAGGAGGTGGTTGGATGCAGGAGGAGGTTGGATGCAGGAGGTGGTTCGAGGCTGGAGGAGGTTCAATGCAGGAGGTGGTTGGATGCAGGAGGTGGTTCGAGGCTGGAGGAGGTTCAATGCAGGAGGTGGTTGGATGCAGGAGGTAGTTGGATGCAGGAGGTGGTTGGATGCAGGAGGAGGTTGGATGCAGGAGGAGGTTGGA